CACACCGTGGGTCTGCGTTTGCAGCGCAAGGGCGACAAGTCTCCGCTGCCGGGACAGTCATGGTCACACGACGTGTTTGCGGCCAGCAGCCCAGAAGTTGTCCTGGTGAGCGTTCCCCGGCGCTGGGATAAGGGGAGGGAGCAGCCTGGAGTTCCTCCCTGCGGGAGGTCAGCTCCGTACTACTCAACGGCAAGAAACCCCATGCCCGGAAACTCCTCGCCGTCGAGGGAAATGTGCTCTAGGGGACCCTGCTTGAGCAGGGAGGTTGGACTAGATGATCTCCAGAGGTCCCTTCCAACCTCAGCCATTCTGTGAGGAGCGCTGCGGCACGGCGTGGGCCACCTGCAGAGATCCGGAGTCCCCTACGAAAGCGGGGAAGAGCAGAGAGGTCACGAAGCTGCCCCCCCCCAAAAAAAAAAAAAAAAGCTCTTTGCTGGTGACAGCAAGGAAGAGCTTGGTCCTAGGCCTTGAGCTTGTCTGCCAGGGGCACGCAGCAGCTCGTAAGGGAGAGGAGGCGGTCGGCGGCCTCCCCGCCACCATGCCGGTGTCCCAGAGCAAGCTTGCATGCTGCGCCTAGCTAGGACGTACGTGCTCTCTCCTTCCGAGCACGAGCTTCGCGTGCAGCAAAAGTAAAGGCAGGCACAGTTCCCTGGTGCTAATAAACGTCTCTTTATTTTCAGAGTGGGGATGATGAAGAGTACAGGAGGATTTACACAAAGAAAATTAAACCACGACTGAAGTCGGATGACGCGGTAGAAATAGAGTCCGGGGGAACGCAGAGCAGGACCATTACGGTCACCAGAAAGGTCACGGCATACACTGTCGACGTTAGTAGGCATGAAGGAGCAAAAGATATCGACGTCACCAGCCCAGATTTTAAAATCAAGATCCCGAAACAGGAAATCGCCCATGCCACAAAGACCGATGTTGAAACGGAGCCTGGGAAAACTGTGATCAAAAGTGCATCAGGAGATTTGTCTGGGAAAAACACCCAAACAACAGACTTGAGTATGGACAGCAGAGGGGCATCTCCTGGCATTTCATACACTGGACCGACAATTGAATCCACAACCAGGAAGCTAGATGTCCACATGGGCAAGGCTCAGGTTGGGAAGCCCGAGATAACTGTTTCAGGAACACAAGTCACAGGTGTTCCCCTGAGGACTCAGATGGACTCTAAACTGTCAGAGATCCAAGTTCCAGGTGGGGAAATTGGAAAATCAGTTACAACCAAGGTGCCGGGACTGAATGTTTCTGGCACTGGGTTCCACGGCCCTGAGGGCAGCTTTCCCAGACCTCATGCAAATGGACAGACGGGAAACCTGGATGCAGATTTTCATGCTAAGGGCTCCAAACTGGATGGTAAAATGCATGTTTCCGGCATGGATATCCAAAGAGAACTGCCAGGGAGCAAAAAGTCACAAGCTGATATTTCTGGCCCCAGTATTCAGGGAGCTATCAAAGCTCCTGGAGTAGACGTTTCCTTACCGATGGTTGAAAGTCCGGACATTGATGTTGGAAAAATAAAAATTCCTACTATGAAAATGCCCAAATTTGGGTTCTCCAGTGGGGGTTCTGGCATCGACGTTCAAGCTGTGCAGGGAGGTGCGGACATTCCTGCACCAAAGGTGCAAACTCCTCACATGGATGTTCCTGCCCCATCTGTCCATATCATGGGCTCCAAAGTTCCTTCTCCTTCAGGGGAAGGGGTTAAAGTCACAAAGCCACAGGTGGATATGGAGCTGAAGGGTGCTGTGAAACTCCCTTCCCCAGCGCTCGAAGTCCCTGGAGCGGATATCAAAGGACCCAGCACAGAGCTCCTAGCTCCTGACATAGACATCCAAGGTGGCAGCAGAAAAGTAAAAATACCCCATATGACGCTTCCAAAATTTACTGCATTGGACTCCCAAGGGGAAGGTCCTACTGTGGAAGTGGTGCTCCCAAAGGGGGAGGTGGGACCGGCAGCAGCTAAGGCACATGTTGACGTTCCTGAAGTGGCCATCAAAGGAGAATGGAAAGCCCCCAAATTTGGGAAGACTGAAACGCCCAAAATATCTATGTCAGATGTAAACCTGAATCTGAAAGGCACTCACCTGAAGGGAGATGCGAGTGTCACAGTCCCAAGAATGGAAGAGGATATCAAAGGACTTGGCTTTGACTCTAAAGCTCCCAAGGTCGATGTTAAGGCTCCTGATGTTGGATTTGAATGTCCAGAAGGTTACTTGAAAGGGCCTGGCATATCAATGCCTTCCAAAGTATCTATGCCAGATATGGACATTAATGTGAAGGGGCCTCAGCTGAAGGGAGAGGTGGATGTTTCTATCCCAAAGATAGGTGGCAACTTGAAAGGACCTCAGATGGATATTAAAGGCCCCAAACTGGGAATGGACATGCCTGATATAGATGTCAAAGGCCCCAAAGTTACGATGCCAGAGATGCATGTCAAGACCCCACAAATCTCCATGCCCGACATCGACTTGAATCTGAAAGGCCCCAAAGTGAAAGGAGGCCTAGATGTTTCTGCCCCCAAACTGGAAGGAGAGATGAAAGCCCCTGGACTTGACATCAAAGGCCCCAGAGTTGACCTTGAAGCACCAGACGTGGACGTCCACGGCCCAGAAGGTAAACTGAAGATGCCTAAGCTGAAAATGCCCAAGTTTGGGGTGCCCGGCCTAAAGGGAGAGGGCCCTGACGTTGATGTGACGCTTCCAAAGGGTGAGGTGGATATTTCTGGTCCCAGGGTAGATGTTGATGTGCCAAGCCTGGACATTGAAGGGCCAGAAGGAAAATTGAAAGGCCCCAAGCTGAAAATGCCTGAGATGCACATCAGAGCACCGAAGGTCTCTGTGCCAGATGTTGATCTGAATTTGAAAGGCCCCAAAGTGAAGGGTGACGTGGATGTCTCCATCCCCACGGTAGGTGCTGATTTGAAGGGTCCCGAATTAGAGCTCAGAGGCCCCAAAGTTGACCTTGAAGCACCAGATGTGGACCTCCATGGCCCAGAGGGTAAACTGAAGATGCCTAAGCTGAAAATGCCCAAGTTTGGGGTGCCCGGCCTAAAGGGAGAGGGCCCTGACGTTGATGTGACGCTTCCAAAGGGTGAGGTGGATATTTCTGGTCCCAGGGTAGATGTTGATGTGCCAAGCCTGGACATTGAAGGGCCAGAAGGAAAATTGAAAGGCCCCAAGCTGAAAATGCCTGAGATGCACATCAGAGCACCGAAGGTCTCTGTGCCAGATGTTGATCTGAATTTGAAAGGCCCCAAAGTGAAGGGTGACGTGGATGTCTCCATCCCCACGGTAGGTGCTGATTTGAAGGGTCCCGAATTAGAGCTCAGAGGCCCCAAAGTTGACCTTGAAGCACCAGATGTGGACCTCCACGGCCCAGAGGGTAAACTGAAGATGCCTAAGCTGAAAATGCCCAAGTTTGGGGTGCCTGGCCTGAAGGGAGAGGGGCCAGAAGTGGAAGTGAAACTTCCTAAGGGAGGTATAGAAGTCTCTGGTCCAAAAGTAGATGCTGACATTCCTAGTTTAGACATCAAAGGACCTGAAGGAAAACTCAAAGGCCCCAAAGTCACGATGCCAGAGATGCATGTCAAGACCCCACAAATCTCCATGCCCGACATCGACTTGAATCTGAAAGGCCCCAAAGTGAAAGGAGGCCTAGATGTTTCTGCCCCCAAACTGGAAGGAGAGATGAAAGCCCCTGGACTTGACATCAAAGGCCCCAGAGTTGACCTTGAAGCACCAGATGTGGACGTCCACGGCCCAGAAGGTAAACTGAAGATGCCTAAGCTGAAAATGCCCAAGTTTGGGGTGCCCGGCCTAAAGGGAGAGGGCCCTGACGTTGATGTGACGCTTCCAAAGGGTGAGGTGGATATTTCTGGTCCCAGGGTAGATGTTGATGTGCCAAGCCTGGACATTGAAGGGCCAGAAGGAAAAGTAAAAAGTCTCAAATTTAAAATGCCTGAACTAAATATTCAGACGCCCAAAATCTCCATGCCAGATGTAGATCTCAGTTTGAAGGCCCCAAAATTGAGAGGAGATGTAGATATTTCTGTTCCGAAGACCCATGGAGACCTCAAGGGGCCCAAAATGGATGTGGAAGGTCCCAAAGTGGATGTTGATGTGCCTGATGTAGACTTGGAATGTCCAGAAGGGAAAATAAAAGGCCCCAAATTTAAAATGCCTAAGCTTAATATCAAAGCACCTAAAATATCCATGCCTGATGTCGATCTGAACCTAAAGGGACATAAGGTGAGAGGAGAGATGGATGTTTCCGTTCCAAAGATAGAAGGTGACTTGAAAGAGCCTGGTGTTGCTATCAAGGGTCCAAAACTAGATGTTGAGGTCCCAGATGTTGAGCTGGAATGTCCAGAAGCCAAACTAAAAATGCCTAAAGTGAAGTTGCCTCACTTTAATGTGTCTGGCCCAAAGTTTGAGGGGGCTGACATAGATGTAAACCTGCCGAAAGGAGAAATGGATATTTCCGGACCAGAGGCAGAACTAGACACTGAAGGACCAGAAGGAAAATGGAAAGGACCTAAGTTCAGGATGCCAAAGCTGAACATTAAAACACCTAAAATATCCATGCCGGATGTTGATTTGAACATAAAAGGACCTAAAATGAAAGGAGAAATGGATATTACAGTTCCCAAGATAGAAGGTGAATTGAAAGGGCCAGAAATAGACATTAAAGGGCCCAAAGTCGATATTGAGGCACCTGATATTGATTTGGAGTGCCCTGAAGGGAAACTGAAGGGCCCCAAGTTCAAGATGCCTGACATGCACATCAAGGCACCCAAGATCTCCATGCCCGACGTTGACTTTAACCTGAAGGGCCCCAAGCTGAAGGGAGATGTGGATGTGGACGTGTCTGTCCCTAAGCTTGAGGGCGACCTGAAAGGTCCCGAGGTGGACATCAAGGGTCCCAAAGTGGACATTGAGGCGCCCGACGTGGATGTTCATGGCCCGGAAGGAAAATTCAAAATGCCCAAGTTCAAGATGCCCAAGTTTGGGATGCCTGGCTTTAAAGGAGAAGGCCCGGAGGTGGACGTGAACCTGCCGAAAGGAGACCTGGATGTTTCCGGTCCCAAGGTGGATATTGAGGGTCCAGAGCTGGACGTTGAAGGGCCAGAGGGGAAGCTGAAGGGCCCCAAGTTCAAGATGCCAGAAATGCATTTCAAGGCACCCAAGATCTCTATGCCAGACATCGACCTAAATCTGAAGGGCCCAAAAATGAAGGGGGATGTGGATGTGTCTGTTCCCAAATTAGAAGGTGATTTGAAGGGCCCAGAAATGGACATCAAAGGTCCAAAAATGAACGTGGACCTTCCTGAAGCTGAGCTGGAAGGCCCTGAAGGGAAGCTGAAGGGCCCCAAGTTTAAGATGCCCGACATGCACATCAAGGCACCCAAGATCTCCATGCCCGACGTTGACTTTAACCTGAAGGGCCCCAAGCTGAAGGGAGATGTGGATGTGGACGTGTCTGTCCCTAAGCTTGAGGGCGACCTGAAAGGTCCCGAGGTGGACATCAAGGGTCCCAAAGTGGACATTGAGGCACCCGACGTGGATGTTCATGGCCCGGAAGGAAAATTCAAAATGCCCAAGTTCAAGATGCCCAAGTTTGGGATGCCTGGCTTTAAAGGAGAAGGCCCGGAGGTGGACGTGAACCTGCCGAAAGGAGACCTGGATGTTTCCGGTCCCAAGGTGGATATTGAGGGTCCAGAGCTGGACGTTGAAGGGCCAGAGGGGAAGCTGAAGGGCCCCAAGTTCAAGATGCCCGACATGCACATCAAGGCACCCAAGATCTCCATGCCCGACGTTGACTTTAACCTGAAGGGCCCCAAGCTGAAGGGAGATGTGGATGTGGACGTGTCTGTCCCTAAGCTTGAGGGCGACCTGAAAGGTCCCGAGGTGGACATCAAGGGTCCCAAAGTGGACATTGAGGCACCCGACGTGGATGTTCATGGCCCGGAAGGAAAATTCAAAATGCCCAAGTTCAAGATGCCCAAGTTTGGGATGCCGGGGCTGAAGGGAGAAGGCCCGGAGGTGGACGTGAACCTGCCGAAAGGAGACCTGGATGTTTCCGGTCCCAAGGTAGATATTGAGTTGCCAACTGCAGACATTGAAGGGCCAGAGGGGAAGCTGAAGGGCCCCAAGTTTAAGATGCCAGAAATGCATTTCAATGTTCCCAAGATCTCCATGCCTGATATCGACTTGAACCTGAAAGGGCCCAAAGTGAAGGGGGCTGTTGATGTTTCTGTTCCCAAATTAGAAGGTGATTTGAAAGGATCTGATTTGAATATTCAAGGTCCCAAAGTGGATGTAGACATTTCTGGTCTTGACATTGAAGGTCCTGAGGGAAAAGGGAAAGGACCCAAGATTAAAATGCCTGAAATGCATATTAAGGCACCTAAAATTTCCATGCCTGATGTAGATGTCAATTTGAAAGGTCCCAAAGTGAAGGGGGATGTAGATGTTTCTGTCCCGAAAATCGAGGGTGATTTGAAGGAGGCTGATTTGCACCTGAAAGGGCCCAAAATGGACATAGAGGTTCCTGACATGGACATTGAGGGCCCAGAAGGAAAGTTAAAGGGTCCCAAATTTAAGATGCCAGAGATGCATTTTAAAGCCCCTAAAATCTCCATGCCAGACTTTGATCTGAACTTGAAGGGCCCCAAAGTGAAGGGGGATGTGGATGTGTCTGTTCCCAAATTAGAAGGTGATTTGAAGGGCCCAGAAATGGACATCAAAGGTCCAAAAATGAACGTGGACCTTCCTGAAGCTGAGCTGGAAGGCCCTGAAGGGAAGCTGAAGGGCCCCAAGTTTAAGATGCCAGAAATGCATTTCAATGTTCCCAAGATCTCCATGCCTGATATCGACTTGAACCTGAAAGGGCCCAAAGTGAAGGGGGCTGTTGATGTTTCTGTTCCCAAATTAGAAGGTGATTTGAAGGGCCCAGAAATGGACATCAAAGGTCCAAAAATGAACGTGGACCTTCCTGAAGCTGAGCTGGAAGGCCCTGAAGGGAAGCTGAAGGGCCCCAAGTTTAAGATGCCAGAAATGCATTTCAATGTTCCCAAGATCTCCATGCCTGATATCGACTTGAACCTGAAAGGGCCCAAAGTGAAGGGGGCTGTTGATGTTTCTGTTCCCAAATTAGAAGGTGATTTGAAGGGCCCAGAAATGGACATCAAAGGTCCAAAAATGAACGTGGACCTTCCTGAAGCTGAGCTGGAAGGCCCTGAAGGGAAGCTGAAGGGCCCCAAGTTTAAGATGCCAGAAATGCATTTCAATGTTCCCAAGATCTCCATGCCTGATATCGACTTGAACCTGAAAGGGCCCAAAGTGAAGGGGGCTGTTGATGTTTCTGTTCCCAAATTAGAAGGTGATTTGAAGGGCCCAGAAATGGACATCAAAGGTCCAAAAATGAACGTGGACCTTCCTGAAGCTGAGCTGGAAGGCCCTGAAGGGAAGCTGAAGGGCCCCAAGTTTAAGATGCCCGACATGCACATCAAGGCACCCAAGATCTCCATGCCCGACGTTGACTTTAACCTGAAGGGCCCCAAGCTGAAGGGAGATGTGGATGTGGACGTGTCTGTCCCTAAGCTTGAGGGCGGCCTGAAAGGTCCCGAGGTGGACATCAAGGGTCCCAAAGTGGACATTGAGGCACCCGACGTGGATGTTCATGGCCCGGAAGGAAAATTCAAAATGCCCAAGTTCAAGATGCCCAAGTTTGGGATGCCTGGCTTTAAAGGAGAAGGCCCGGAGGTGGACGTGAACCTGCCGAAAGGAGACCTGGATGTTTCCGGTCCCAAGGTAGATATTGAGTTGCCAACTGCAGACATTGAAGGGCCAGAGGGGAAGCTGAAGGGCCCCAAGTTTAAGATGCCAGAAATGCATTTCAATGTTCCCAAGATCTCCATGCCTGATATCGACTTGAACCTGAAAGGGCCCAAAGTGAAGGGGGCTGTTGATGTTTCTGTTCCCAAATTAGAAGGTGATTTGAAAGGATCTGATTTGAATATTCAAGGTCCCAAAGTGGATGTAGACATTTCTGGTCTTGACATTGAAGGTCCTGAGGGAAAAGGGAAAGGACCCAAGATTAAAATGCCTGAAATGCATATTAAGGCACCTAAAATTTCCATGCCTGATGTAGATGTCAATTTGAAAGGTCCCAAAGTGAAGGGGGATGTAGATGTTTCTGTCCCGAAAATCGAGGGTGATTTGAAGGAGGCTGATTTGCACCTGAAAGGGCCCAAAATGGACATAGAGGTTCCTGACATGGACATTGAGGGCCCAGAAGGAAAGTTAAAGGGTCCCAAATTTAAGATGCCAGAGATGCATTTTAAAGCCCCTAAAATCTCCATGCCAGACTTTGATCTGAACTTGAAGGGCCCCAAAGTGAAGGGGGATGTGGATGTGTCTGTTCCCAAAATAGAGGGTGATTTGAAAGGTCCAGAAGTCGACATCAAAGGCCCTAAACTGGATATCGATGCTCCTGATGTTGACATGGAAGGCCCAGAAGGCAAACTGAAAGGCCCCAAATTCAAGATGCCTGAAATGCACTTCAAGACACCCAAGATCTCCATGCCAGACATAGATCTGAACCTGAGAGGCCCCAAGCTGAAGGGGGATTTGGATGTTTCTGCTCCCAAACTAGAGGGTGACTTGAAAGGGCCAGAAGGGGATATCAAAGGTCCTAAACTGGACATAGAAGCTCCTGATGTGGATATTGAGGTCCCAGAGGGGAAGCTGAGAGGCCCCAAGTTTAAGATGCCTGACATGCATTTTAAGGCTCCCAAGATCTCCATGCCAGACTTTGATCTCAATCTGAAAGGTCCAAAAGTGAAAGGGGATGTAGATGTTTCCACTCCTAAGTTAGAAGGCAACCTGAAAGGGCCTGAGGTTAATGTAAAAGGTCCCAAAATGGACATAGAGGTTCCTGATGTTGAGCTGGAAGGTCCAGAAGGAAAGTTAAAGGGTCCCAAATTTAAGATGCCAGAGATGCATTTTAAAGCCCCCAAAATCTCCATGCCAGACTTTGATGTGAACTTGAAAGGTCCCAAAATGAAGGGGGATGTGGATGTGTCTGTTCCCAAATTAGAAGGTGATTTGAAGGGCCCAGAAATGGACATCAAAGGTCCAAAAATGAACGTGGACCTTCCTGAAGCTGAGCTGGAAGGCCCTGAAGGGAAGCTGAAGGGCCCCAAGTTTAAGATGCCCGACATGCACATCAAGGCACCCAAGATCTCCATGCCCGACGTTGACTTTAACCTGAAGGGCCCCAAGCTGAAGGGAGATGTGGATGTGGACGTGTCTGTCCCTAAGCTTGAGGGCGACCTGAAAGGTCCCGAGGTGGACATCAAGGGTCCCAAAGTGGACATTGAGGCACCCGACGTGGATGTTCATGGCCCGGAAGGAAAATTCAAAATGCCCAAGTTCAAGATGCCCAAGTTTGGGATGCCTGGCTTTAAAGGAGAAGGCCCGGAGGTGGACGTGAACCTGCCGAAAGGAGACCTGGATGTTTCCGGTCCCAAGGTGGATATTGAGGGTCCAGAGCTGGACATTGAAGGGCCAGAGGGGAAGCTGAAGGGCCCCAAGTTCAAGATGCCAGAAATGCATTTCAAGGCACCCAAGATCTCTATGCCAGACATCGACCTAAATCTGAAGGGCCCAAAAATGAAGGGGGATGTGGATGTGTCTGTTCCCAAATTAGAAGGTGATTTGAAGGGCCCAGAAATGGACATCAAAGGTCCAAAAATGAACGTGGACCTTCCTGAAGCTGAGCTGGAAGGCCCTGAAGGGAAGCTGAAGGGCCCCAAGTTTAAGATGCCCGACATGCACATCAAGGCACCCAAGATCTCCATGCCCGACGTTGACTTTAACCTGAAGGGCCCCAAGCTGAAGGGAGATGTGGATGTGGACGTGTCTGTCCCTAAGCTTGAGGGCGACCTGAAAGGTCCCGAGGTGGACATCAAGGGTCCCAAAGTGGACATTGAGGCACCCGACGTGGATGTTCATGGCCCGGAAGGAAAATTCAAAATGCCCAAGTTCAAGATGCCCAAGTTTGGGATGCCTAGCTTTAAAGGAGAAGGCCCGGAGGTGGACGTGAACCTGCCGAAAGGAGACCTGGATGTTTCCGGTCCCAAGGTGGATATTGAGGGTCCAGAGCTGGACATTGAAGGGCCAGAGGGGAAGCTGAAGGGCCCCAAGTTCAAGATGCCAGAAATGCATTTCAAGGCACCCAAGATCTCTATGCCAGACATCGACCTAAATCTGAAGGGCCCAAAAATGAAGGGGGATGTGGATGTGTCTGTTCCCAAATTAGAAGGTGATTTGAAGGGCCCAGAAATGGACATCAAAGGTCCAAAAATGAACGTGGACCTTCCTGAAGCTGAGCTGGAAGGCCCTGAAGGGAAGCTGAAGGGCCCCAAGTTTAAGATGCCCGACATGCACATCAAGGCACCCAAGATCTCCATGCCCGACGTTGACTTTAACCTGAAGGGCCCCAAGCTGAAGGGAGATGTGGATGTGGACGTGTCTGTCCCTAAGCTTGAGGGCGACCTGAAAGGTCCCGAGGTGGACATCAAGGGTCCCAAAGTGGACATTGAGGCGCCCGACGTGGATGTTCATGGCCCGGAAGGAAAATTCAAAATGCCCAAGTTCAAGATGCCCAAGTTTGGGATGCCTGGCTTTAAAGGAGAAGGCCCGGAGGTGGACGTGAACCTGCCGAAAGGAGACCTGGATGTTTCCGGTCCCAAGGTGGATATTGAGGGTCCAGAGCTGGACGTTGAAGGGCCAGAGGGGAAGCTGAAGGGCCCCAAGTTCAAGATGCCCGACATGCACATCAAGGCACCCAAGATCTCCATGCCCGACGTTGACTTTAACCTGAAGGGCCCCAAGCTGAAGGGAGATGTGGATGTGGACGTGTCTGTCCCTAAGCTTGAGGGCGACCTGAAAGGTCCCGAGGTGGACATCAAGGGTCCCAAAGTGGACATTGAGGCGCCCGACGTGGATGTTCATGGCCCGGAAGGAAAATTCAAAATGCCCAAGTTCAAGATGCCCAAGTTTGGGATGCCGGGGCTGAAGGGAGAAGGCCCGGAGGTGGATTTAAATCTACCTGATGCCGACGTTGCGGTTTCAGGTCCCAAGGTGGATATTAGTGTTCCTGATTTGGACGTTGAAGGGCCAGAAGGAAACCTAAAAGGCCCTAAATATAAGAAGCCTGACATTCATTTCAATGTTCCTAAGATCTCCATGCCAGATATTGATTTAAATTTGAAAGGCCCAAAAGTAAAGGCTGATGTTGATGCCTCTGTTCCAAAAATAGAAGGTGAACTGAAAAGTCCTAAACTAGACATCAAGGGGCCTGAAATTGAAGTTGAGACACCAAAGGTTGATATAGAAGGAAAACCTAAAAAATCCAGGTTTAAACTTCCAAAGTTTGGCTTTTCTGGTCCTAAAGTGCCCCACCCTGATGTGGATGTGAAACTTAAAAAACCTGATATTGAAGTATCTGGTCCCAACGTTGATGTTCATGCTCCGGATTTGGACGTGCAGACAAAAACAAAAGGATCAAAGTTTAAAATGCCTTTTCTGAGTATTTCATCGCCTAAAGTTTCAATGCCAGATGTGGAGCTAAATCTGAAAGGGCATAAACTGAAAGGAGACTTAGATGTTTCCAGTCCCAAGTTGGAAGGGGAACTGAAAGGGCCTGACATTGATATCAAGGGCCCCAGAGTCAACATCGAGGCACCTGACACGGATATTCACGGGCCAGAGGGTAAACTCAAAATGCCCAAGTTCAAAATGCCCAAATTTGGCATGTCTGGATTTAAAGCTGAGGGGCCAGAGCTGGACATTAGCATCCCAAAAGGGGACCTTGATGTTTCAGGTCCCAAGCTGGGTGTGGAAGGTTCTGAACTGGAAATTGAAGGGCCAGAGGGGAAGCTCAAGGGCCCCCAAATCAAGATGCCAGAAATGCACGTAAAGGCACCCAAGATCTCCATGCCTGACGTTGACCTGCATCTGAAAAGCCCCAAAGCAAAGGGGGATGTGGATGTCTCTCATCTGCAAGGTGCTCTGAAGGGACCTGAATTAGATATAAAAGGACCAAAAGTGGATGTACAGGTCCCAGGCCTTGACATTGAAGGCCCCGAAGGAAAACTGAAAGGACCCAAATTTAAAATGCCCGAAGTGAATATCAAGGCTCCCAATATTTCCATGCCAGACTTTGATTTGAATTTGAAAGGCCCTAAGCTGAAAGGAGATGTGGATGTTGATCTTTCAGTGCCCAAACCAGAAGGTGACTTGAGTGGGCCAGAATTTAATATCAAAGGACCAAAGGTTGACATCGATGCTCCTGAACTGGATGTCGAAGGGCCAGAAGGAAAATGGAAAAGTCCCAAGTTTAAAATGCCAGAGATGCACATAAAGGCTCCCAAAATTTCAATGCCTGATATTGACTTAAACCTTAAAGGTCCCAAGCTGAAAGGAGACATAGATGTTTCTGCCCCAAAGCTGGAAGGGGATTTTAAGGCTCCTGACATCAATATTGGAGGCCCCAAGGTTGACATCGATGTGCCAGATGTGGATATTCATGGCCCAGAGGGTAAACTCAAAGCACCCAAATTCAAAATGCCCAAATTTGGAATGCCTGGCTTCAAAGGGGATGGCCCAGAGATGGATATAAATCTCCCAAAGGGAGAACTCGATATTTCTGTTCCTAAGGTGGCTGTTGATGCTCCAGATCTGGACATTGAAGGGCCAGAAGGCAAACTGAAGGGCCCAAAATTCAAGATGCCTGAGATGCACTTCAAAGCACCTAAAATTTCCATGCCTGACATTGATTTGAATCTGAAAGGGCCAAAGTTGAAAGGAGAGGTGGATGTGCCAAAACTGGAAGGGGATTTGAAAGGTCCTGAACTGGAAATGAAAGGACCAGAAGTAGACATAGATGTTCCTAATGTGGATATCGAAGGACCAGAAGGAAAATGGAAAGGCCCCAAATTGAAGATGCCAGAGATGCATTTTAAGGCTCCTAAAATTTCTGTGCCTGACTTTGATGTGAACCTAAAAGGCCCGAAAGTGAAGGGGGACGTGGATGTGTCTGTGCCGGCTGTGGAAGGTGATTTGAAAGCGCCAAAAGTTGATATTAAGGGCCCTGAGTTAGATGTCAGTGCCCCAGATGTTAATATTGAGGGCCCAGAAGGAAAGTTAAAGGGTCCCAAATTTAAGATGCCAGAGATGCATTTTAAAGCCCCTAAAATCTCCATGCCAGACTTTGATCTGAACTTGAAGGGCCCCAAAGTGAAGGGGGATGTGGATGTGTCTGTTCCCAAAATAGAGGGTGATTTGAAAGGTCCAGAAGTCGACATCAAAGGCCCTAAACTGGATATCGATGCTCCTGATGTTGACATGGAAGGCCCAGAAGGCAAACTGAAAGGCCCCAAATTCAAGATGCCTGAAATGCACTTCAAGACACCCAAGATCTCCATGCCAGACATAGATCTGAACCTGAGAGGCCCCAAGCTGAAGGGGGATTTGGATGTTTCTGCTCCCAAACTAGAGGGTGACTTGAAAGGGCCAGAAGGGGATATCAAAGGTCCTAAACTGGACATAGAAGCTCCTGATGTGGATATTGAGGTCCCAGAGGGGAAGCTGAGAGGCCCCAAGTTTAAGATGCCTGACATGCATTTTAAGGCTCCCAAGATCTCCATGCCAGACTTTGATCTCAATCTGAAAGGTCCAAAAGTGAAAGGGGATGTAGATGTTTCCACTCCTAAGTTAGAAGGCAACCTGAAAGGGCCTGAGGTTAATGTAAAAGGTCCCAAAATGGACATAGAGGTTCCTGATGTTGAGCTGGAAGGTCCAGAAGGAAAGTTAAAGGGTCCCAAATTTAAGATGCCAGAGATGCATTTTAAAGCCCCCAAAATCTCCATGCCAGACTTTGATGTGAACTTGAAAGGTCCCAAAACCCAAGATCTCCATGCCCGACGTTGACTTTAACCTGAAGGGCCCCAAGCTGAAGGGAGACATGGACGTTTCTGCACCTGATCTGGAAAGCCCTAAAGTTGAGATCGAGGCCCCTGACATGGACATTGAGGGCCCTGAAGGGAAGCTGAAAGGTCCCAAGTTCAAGATGCCAGACATGCACTTTAAAGCTCCCAAAATCTCCACGCCAGACTTTGATCTGAACCTGAAAGGCCCCAAAGTGAAAGGAGACTTGGACATGTCGGTGCCAGGAATGGAATGTGAACTGAAAGGCCCAGAAGTCAACATTGGAGGTCCTAAATTAGATATAGATGCCCCTGATGTCGATATTGATAGCCCTGAAGGTAAATTCAAGCTGCCTAAATTCAAAATGCCCAAGTTTGCAATGCCTGGCTTCAAAGGAGAGGGGGCAGATGTGAACGTGAACCTGCCCAAGGGAGACGCTGAAATTTCCGGCCCTAGCATAGATATAGAGGCTCCTGATTTGAATATGGAAGGAAAACTGAAAGGTCCCAAATTTAAGATGCCTGAAATGCACATTAAGTCTCCTAAGATCTCTCTCCCTGATGTTGACCTCAATGTGAAGGGGCCTCAACTGAAAGGAGATGTAGATGTTTCTGGACCTAAGTTGGAAGGAGATTTGAAAGCACCCAAAATTGATGTGAAAGCCCCCAGGCTAGACATTGATGCGCCTGATATGAACATTGAAGGGCCAGAGGGGAAGCTCAAAGGCCCCAAATTCAAGATGCCAGAAATGCATGTCAAGACACCCAAGATCTCCATGCCCAATGTTGACTTTAATCTGAAAGGCCCCAAACTGAAGGGAGACATGGATATCTCAGCACCAAAGTTGGAAGGGGATTTGCAGTGTCCGGAAGTTGACATCAAAGGCACAAAATTGGATATCGAGTCACCTGACATTAACATTGAAGGGCCAGATGGAAAACTGAAAGGGCCTAGAATCAAGATGCCAGACATGCACGTCAAGACTCCCCAGATCTCCATGCCAGACATAGACCTGAACCTAAAGGGACCGAGGCTGAAAGGCAATGTTGATATTCCGTGTCCAAAACTCGAGACGGATTTGAAGGCTCCTGAAATTGATATTAAGGGTCCCAAATTAGATATTGAGGGCCCAGAAGTTGATGTTCATGGCCCAGAGGGAAAACTGAAAATACCTAAAATGAAGCTGCCAAAGTTCGGCATGCCTGGCTTTAAAGGGGAAGGCCCTGAGGTGGACATGAACCTGCCAAAGACAGAGGTCGATCTTTCAGGTCCCAAGGTAGATATCAGCGTCCCAGACGTAAGCGTCGAAGGTCCAGAAGGAAAACTGAAGGGCCCTAAACTTAAGATGCCAGAAATGCATGTAAACGTTCCTAAAATCTCGATGCCTGATATAGACTTGAATTTGAAAGGCCATAAAACAAAGGGAGGCTTTGACATTACATCCCCAAAGATTGAAGGTAATCTGAAGGGTCCTGAAGTCGATGTCAGAGTCCCGGAATTTGGAGTCAAAGGCCCCGAAATTGATGCTGAGGGCCCTGACATGAATGTTGAGGGCCTAGAGGCAAATGTCAAACTTCCCAAGTTTAAGAAACCAAAGTTCGGGTTTGGGGTGAAAAGCCCAAAGGCAGATATCAAGGTTCCAGGTGCAGAGGTGGATTTCCCGGAGGCTGAACTGAATGTGGACTCTCCCGATGTCAGCATTTCTGGAAAAGGTAAGAAGAGCAAATTCAAGATGCCTAAACTTCATATGAGTGGTCCTAAAGTTAAAGGAAAGAAAGGTGCATTCGATGTGAATCTCGCTGGTGGAGAGCTCGATGCCAATTTGAAATCTCCAGATCTGGATATGAACGTAGCTGGCCCAGATGTGACAATAAAAGGTGATGCTAGTGTGAAGTCCCCCAAAGGAAAGAAACCCATGTTTGGGAAGATCTCTTTCCCAGATGTTGAATTTGATCTTAAATCACATAGATTCAGAGGGGATGCTTCTGTGGCGGTCCCAAAAACAGAAGGGGAACTTAAAGTTCCTGATCCGGAAGTCTCTGTGCCAACTGTCAAAGGCGAGGTTAAAGGCCTGAGTCTCAGTATGGACACTGGAGCTCCTGACGTGAGTCTGAAGAAACCAAAACTCAAACTTCCCAGTGGGCAGGTGGTTGTAGGTGACTCAAAAATCGAGGGTGACCTAAAAGGACCTGCCATTGACACCTCTGTTCCTTCGGTCCCAGTGCCAGACCTCGACCTAGGTGTGAAAGGACCAAAAGTAAAAGGTGAAGTCAGTGTTCCTGCAGTAGAACTGGAAGGCCCAGAAGGAAAGCTGAAATTGCCCCAGGTCTCATTGCCCAAAATGGGGAAAACAGGTCTCAGTCTGGAAAGGCCTGATGTGAGCTTGGACATCTCAGCCACAAAGGCGGAAGGAAGCGTGAACCTCCCTTCGGCTGATGTGAGCCTCGGAGGTGTTGATGCAAAACTAAAAGGACCCAAAGTCTCTCTACCCGATTTTGATGTAAACCTGAAAGGACCAAAACTAAAGGGAGATCTGGATGTTTCAAGCTCCATTGAAGGGCCAAAGCTCAGCCTCGATGCACCAGATGTTGACATTGGAGGTTGTGAAGGAAAGCTTAAAATGCCAAAGTTTAAATCCCCCACCGTGGAAGGACCTGATCTGAGTATGAAAGGAGGCGTTGGATGCTCCAGCCCACAAATGGAGGTAGACATAAAAGCCCCAGGTGCAAATGTCGATCTCGGCATCCCAGGTGTCAATATCAGAGGGCCCTCAGCAGACATTTCTGCTCCAAACTTTGATGTAAACCTGAAAGGACCAAAGTTGAAAGGAGATCTCGATGTTTCTGCTGGCATTAAATCCCCCAAAGTATCTGTGGACGCGCCGGATGTTGGCTTTGAAGGTCCGAGTGGCACAATTAAGCTTCCTTCCCTCAAAATCCCCCAGTTTGGCATTTCCAGTCCTTGTGTTGAGGGATCTGATACGGGCATCAGTCTTGAAGGACCGCAAGCTAAAGGAGGCCTTAAGGGCTCAGGAGTTGATGTTGGGTTGGGAGGACCTGATATGGAATTGAAAGGGCCTAAGTTTCAAATGCAATCACCTGGTGTTTCCTTGCATGATGTTGATTTGAAGTTGAAAGGACCAAACGTACAGGCTGACATAGATGTTGCTAGTGAAATCAAAGGTCCAAAAATTGGAATGGAAATGCCTGGCATTGACATTAAGAAGTCTGGAGTGGGTGGCCACCTTGACGCTCCCGTCCTTGATGCATCTGCGCCAAAACTTTCCGTGTCAGATTTTAATGTAAATTTAAAAGGGCCTAAGGGTAGTGCCACCCTTTCTGGAGACATGTCAGCACCTACTGTGAATGCTGGTGGGGGTGCTTTTCATGTTACTGGACCAAAGGTAGGAATCGGAGGTCCCAGCATCGGCATGAGTGTCCCGCAAGGTAGCCTAGGAAAAGTATCATTCCCCAAGCTGAGAATGCCTAAATTTGTTTTTTCAGACCCTGAGGTGAAGGGCAGGGAGGTAGGGGTTGATGTAGAGTTCCCTCGGGCAGACGCTAGCCTTCATGCTGGCGCCGTAGAGCTCGAGTTGGAAGACCCAGACATCAGACTAAAGAAATCCAAAATTAAAATGCCAAAGTTGAAATTTTCAAAACAGAAGGGAAAGAGCAGCAGTGCCACAGGCTCCCCAGAGGCTTCTGGGTCCATTTCGGGATCAAAAGGAGATCTGAAGAGTTCCAAGGTGAGCCTGGGGTCTGCAGAGGGTGACCTAGATGGAGGAGAGGGCCCATCAGCCAAAGGGAAGTTTTCCCTCTTCAAAAGCAGGAAACCACGTCACCGGTCATCGTCCTTCAGTGATGACCATTCTTCCCATTCAACGCCCACAGGAACCCTGGAGCTTGATGTCAGCTCAGGCGCTGACAAAGGGAAGCAGGCCAAAATGAAATTTGGAACGTTTGGGGGCATAGGGTCGAAAACTAAAGGGTCTTATGAGGTAACGGGAAGTGATGATGAGACGGGAAAGATGCAGGGTAGCGGGGTCTCGTTAGCGTCCAAAAAATCACGCCTGTCATCCTCCTCGAGCAACGACAGTGGCACGAAGGGTGGCTTCCGCATGCCTGCAGTGGAGCTGACGGTCGCAAAAAAGAAAGAGTAGCGTGCCTGTACATAGGTGTCTGTGTATATAGATAGCCCTTCCTGGGTTTGTATATACATTTCGTAGCTTGGGATACTTTCAACTTCAGCAACAGAATGAGCAAGGTCTGGCAGGACATGTCCTATCCCGCGCGGCAGAGGAGTGACGAAGGAATGGAGGGGTCAGAAGGGGTGGCAGGGACGAGGGGAGAGGCGAGATGGCTGCATGGTCCATCCGATGCATTTGGAGGCTTCTCTGTGCTTGAGACTTCGGTTGGTGCATGAAATGCTGAGAGCTTAAGTTTACTAGCAAGCTATTTTGATATATATTTTTTTTCATTCGACTGAATATTTTCAGTGTTTGGCTCATGGAAATCACTTTGCCATTTTAATGATCTTTTTTGGCTTTTACTTGTGGGGCTTAAATTTCTGTCACAAAAATGGACATATTGAAAACACTGTAAAATATAGACGCAACTGTGCGTGTCAGTTTAATTCCTCTTATGGGGTAGAAAAAAATTAATCCAAGTATTTCCCATGGCTTTGCTGCTTAAGGGCATGATAACAAATAACCTCAGGAGTCGTGCAGTGAGATTTAAAGGAGAGTTAAATGAGCAAGTAGCTGATCCAGTTTGTGCAGGAGGAATGTCTCAAAGATTATTGCAAATTGCCACTAGGTGACTGGGCATGATTTTATTGAAGTGTTCTTTGTTGCCTCTATACGTTTGTTTTATTATTTGTATTATAAGAGAAAATTCGTCTCAGTTGTGGCATAAAAGCTTGCAATGGCCACTCTTCTGGTATTTGTTAAAATTTCTGTTAACAAGTGTATCTCAAATTTAAAAAAAAAAAAAAAATCCAAACCTTTCAGCACTTTAACGGCAAATTAATTGAGAATGTAAGAAGAACGGTCTTGTAAAATGCAAATAAAAAAAATTTATTAACCGTGACTCACCAAAACCAACTTCCTTCCTTGTTCGCAGTCATCGTTTGGTGGCTAAAGGGTCCGCCGGGCTGCGATGCCCTGAGGGCTGCTCCGGGGTTGTCCTTGGTGCCTCCGTTCCCAGCATTTTTTTTTGGGGGGGGGGGGGGTGTCACTCTTGTTTTTCATAGCGGCGATTCCCTCAACTCCGGGTCGTTTGCCTTTTCACGGGACCCCAGAGGCCTCCATCTGGCTTTTGGGGTGTCCTCTGAGGTGGCCAAGGGGTGGGTGGGAGTAGAGCAGGATGCCCGAGCGCCCCGCAGAGCGCATCTAGGGGTGGTTTAGAAGTGACAGCGTGTAATTAAGGACCTTTGCTGTTAGGGGTGATAGAGCTAATGGCTTTTCATTCCTCCCCCCGCCCTACATCTCTCCCGGATGTATTTGCGGCCCAACGCGCGCGGTCCAAGGTGAGTCTCCAACCCCCTCACCGCCCCCACGAGCGGTGGGAGCAGGGGCAGTTTGGACCACCCAGGCGGCTCTAATTCAGCCAATTTTGACGGGGCAGGAAGTGGTGATTTTTGAAGGTCCCTAGAACCGGGCTGAAGCTTTTATTTATTTATTTTTTGGGGGGGTGGGAGCCCCGACGCTGATCGGACTCTGGGGGACACTCGGGCTTTCGTCTTCCGGCGGAGGCTCTTGTTGCCTTTCAACCCTTGGTTTTTCACCCCAAACCACTTTTTCAACCCCCCCAACACTTCTATGGCCTTTTTAACCCCTTCCACCCACCCTCCTCGCTTTTTTTGCCATTTTGTAACCAAATCTTGCAAGATCTAGGTGAGTTTTTAGATTTTTTTTCTCTCTGGCCCATTTGTTCTTGTCTGTTCTGGGAAGGAAAAACCTCTAGTTGTGGCCATCTCGTTGATTCCGGCCATTTTAGGAGCAATTTTAGTAGGGG